TGGTAGCCAAAAGGTAAGGCAGGAAAAAGGACGAAAAGCTCTAGAGGGCTGGATAAATTGAGAGTGGTGATCCCACGCAGCATATTTATGTATGATGTGAAAAAAGAGAACTCAGTTCCGGTGCACGGTGCTCCAACCCCCCCCCCCCGATTCCAGGAATATGACCTGATCCCAACAGTTTCTGTTCTCAATGATGATCTTCTCAAGGAGTGATCCCCTTAGGGAATGAAGACATCTATTCATCAAAACAATTGCTAAAAGTTCCTTTTCAGATTGCAGAATCCAAGCGGAATGCCCACCCGGCCCGCCGGGGCCACCAGGGCTCAAGGGTGAAGACGGAAGTGAGATTTTGGACTAGATCGATGATTTGTGGTGATACACCCCTTTTCTACTTTTAAAAACTCCTCCTTTTACAGTACCTGGAGTGCCGGGCTATCCTGGACCCGATGGCATTGGTGCTGGACGATTCGCATTGGAAAGAAATAGCAAGGGCTGCATAAAGTGCCCAGCAGGACGTTCAGTTCTTTTTTGATGCTCACCATCGAGATAACCCCATTTTGAGCCATTCTAGAATGAAGCGCTACATAGTTATTGAAGAGCTATTTAGGACCTGGTCTTCGTGGACCGAGTGGACGACCGGGGAGACCGGGCAGAGATGGCTCTCCTGGGTTGCCTGGCGTGAGCATCGGAGTGGGAAGACCTGGACCTCGGGGTCCAATTGGAGACAGGGGAGCACCAGGTATGCTTTTGTTTACGAAAAAGTTACATGATTGCTTCATGATGGTATTTCAGGAGCGGACGGTCCGACCGGACCTCCAGGGAAACCAGGACGCAATGGTGTCCGTTGGCTACGAGGTTCCCCAGGACCGCGTGGTCAACCTGGAGGAGTTGGTCCACCTGGCCCTCGTGGTAAACCCGGTGTTGCCGAAGAGGGACCAGACGGACTTCCAGGTCCACCGGGTAACCAAGGCAGACCAGGCATGCCAGGGCCAATGGGCAAACCTGGACGGGTTCGTTTAAACTCTAAACTAATCTATATAAGGGTATTCTCGGGTAATAGATCGATTGTTAAGCCTGGTCGTCACTGGCGTCCTGGAGCTCGATGCTGAGTACTGCCCTTGCCCGGCACGTGGAGTTTCCCGATCAGTACACCCAGACGATGGCTATGAAGATGACGCTGTATCGAGTGATGGTGAGGGCCCGATCACATGAAAAAGTTTTCCGGTCTTCGGATATCCGATTTTGGCTCGTTTCCAAAAAATAAGAATCTCCTTTTCCAGAGCCAATCGTACATCCATCGGCAACTCAATACTTAGAACACCGAAAAAGAATCGGCTTTCCGGAAACGTACGACATTCCACCAGCAGTTGCAAGGCGACGTTTACGACGCACCTAAATTAACTATTATTACTATTAATATAATTATTTGTGTTCTTTATTTTATGTACAAATTTGCTCTGACCTCAGTGATGACATATTAGGATTGCGGCTATTTATTTAGTAAGTGGAATAAATATTTATGTTTTATGACATAATTGTTTACAAGCAAGCCTGGAGCCTAATCGTTTTTTGAAGTGCGTGGGCCGACAAGGGACGGAACTACTTTTTTTCGAATGCCACGATTCCAAATCGCTGACCAAAAGCTGGATAACACGACCCACCCTTCAAAGTGAGCGCCGAGAAGGTTTCCCAAGAAATAGTAAAGTTCCAATGTAAGCACCACCATACTACACAAAAAGCAGAGGTACCCGACAGGAGGCCCGTCGCGCGGCAAGAAGGCAGAGTCAGCGGACGAGTCGCAGCGCGTGATGTGCGATGTAGGACGTGCATGGACATTTTAACTTGACGCGAAATCACTACAGTACGCGCTGCGACTCGTCCGCTGACTCTGCCTTCTTGCCGCGCGACGGGCCTCCTGTCGGGTACCCGTAAACCAGATCTTGTGCTCGTAAAAAGCAGTGTTCGCGCGTGGGCGGGGATAAAGAGCGGGCGGAGTCCGTGTGAGGCTGACTGGCATGCAATAAGCAGAAGGCGACTGCCTCTTTATGATTTTATGTATTTTGCACTCGTGTGCACGTTTTGAGGGAGGTTTGCGGGGGGAGAGGGGAGGAAGAGGGTAAGGTGGGGAGGAGAGCGCGTAGTTCGGCAGAAAACCGTGAACCTTTCGAGCCTCACCAAACCATCCGATCAATATCGACCCATAACACCTTCCTCAATCCTCCCGGCCGACAAGCCGGGCGCGCTTCATCCTAAGTCGAAGAATATATCATCAAAACCATCCGACACACTTACCAGTTAATGATTCTGGCAGAAAAGGCTAAGACTCGGGATTGCGACACAGTTCACGTCAAACAACAACTACCTACGGTACAAAATACAAATTTAGGTACTGTCTCAATAAACCAGTGTCGCATTTTTACATCCAAAAATTTTCCGATCCTAAACCTCTGCTTCTTAACATCGGTGATGTACCATTCCGAAAAGAGAGGATATTGTAAGCTCATATCAAAATGCTTATATGTCTATACTATCCCACATAATCTGCCAAGGACAGGGTTATTCAATTTTGGTGCCTGTCAGAAATGCGAGAATCCGGCCGACAAAAAATGGCCAAACCGACAACTATCTCTAACATTATCTTCCTTGGGAGAAATCAATCTATGATGTACCTTCTACTTATGCATGACCTCTTCTAATCATTACACTACTTGGTTTTCCTACAAATCGCGTCGTGATTCACATTTACACAGAGCTGAGTTTCTTCAACACAGAAACCGTACGAATTCGACGCACCAATACCTAGTGATCTAAGGTACGAAAATATATTATTATGGCCAGACGATATGCAAAAACTGCATTAGAAATTTGAAGAACAAGTCATGACTAAGTTAGGAATGTACGACTGGTTGATTTTCTCATTTTCTAAGGGATAATTTTTTTCAAAGAAATGTGGTCACTTTCGCGGTAAAGCACCTTATACCGAAACATCTAAAATTCGAACTAATTCCCAACAAACAGAGAAACAAAACAAATGAGCGAGTAGAGCAGAAGAAGTGCTCGTAAAAGGAACACCACTCGATATGAAACAATGACGTTTACGAGGAACAATTTTAATTTGAAAATTGCTATGGCTTATCCGTCAGCCAATTCGAAAAGAAAAACGGCAAAGCTTTTTCGGCAACCTAAGAGTGGAATGTTTAGAAGAGGTCATGGGTAAGTATAGGGTATATCACTGGTTGATTTCTCCCCAGGGAAAATAAAGTTACAGCCAGTTGTCGGTTTGGTCAATTTTTGCCGGCGAGACCTCCCATTTTGCTGGCCTGAAATTCGAAAACTCTGAAATAGCGGTGGAAGCGGAACACAGCATTTTGTAGAGCAGACAATTCTCTTTCGAATGATATATAAAACGATGTAAAAGTTTCATGATTTAGATGAAAATTTTTTGGTTGAAAAAAAAACGACATCACTTATGAGACAACCTAATAC